CCCCCTCCCCTCTCGACTATTTTTCACTTTGATGTTCCTCCCCCTCTGTGAAGCCTGAAGTCAACTAAAGGGCTATCGATAACTATCAAACGCATGCCATTTGATATAAATTAAAAAGCATGCTCGTTTTGTATGCAAACTAATTGGTATTTATANCCTACTTTCAAAGGAGAGGGAAATGCGAGCTATACCCATAGGGATTCTCTAAATTTGGAATTCGGTTTATATACTATAATAAGATTTAATTTATTTTAGAATATATTGCTGATCAAATTTCCAAATAAAATTCTATAAATTCCATTTGGATAACTGATTTATAGACCAAAATAAAATATTTTCTGAGAAGGTGCGCAATAGACTTACCTCCACGTTGTGCACCCTGGACAACGTGTACTTTTACGACAGAAAGTCTATTAATCGGCAGTTGACTTCTCACTTCAAACTACTATGACCCGAATATTTGTAATATTCGACCCCCTTCCACAGTACTCATCGGACCTTTTCTATGTGCTTAATTCGCCCCCTTTCACAGTACTCATCTTACCTTTTTTATAACTTTGTGTCATATCTGTCTGTCTCTTTTACGTCTGTGAATCATTATTCTGTCATCTGTCTGCCTCTTTTACATCCGTGAATCGCTCTTCTGTTTCCCTGTCTGTCTCTTTTACATCTGTGAATCATTATTCTGTCCTCCCTCTCGACTTTTTGTCACTCTGATGTTCCTTCTCCTATCAGTGAGGCCCGAAGTCAGCTAAAGAGCTAATGATAACTATCAAAACGCCCACCATTTGAAATAAATAAATAAATAATATTTTCTGATAAAACTTTGATGAATTATGTATTGCAGAGGCCATGTATCTGAAACTAGTGATCTCTGATGGTCTAAGTTATCCTTGTGGTCCTTATAATTTGAGAATCTGAAATCCTTTCGCTTAGTTAAAGGTTAACTGTTTAGACCTACCTCCACGTAATGCACCCTGGCAACGCATACTCAAACGGCAAAAAGTCTTTCAACTGGCAGTTGACTTCTGACTTCAAACTACCATCACCCCCACTGTATGTCATTTTCTACCACTTCCACAGTACTCGACTTTGTGTCTGTCTCTTTTACATCTTTGAAATACTCTTCTGTTCTCCCCCCCCCCTCCCCTCTCGACTATTTTTCACTTTGATGTTCCTCCCCCTCTGTGAAGCCTGAAGTCAACTAAAGGGCTATCGATAACTATCAAACGCATGCCATTTGATATAAATTAAAAAGCATGCTCGTTTTGTATGCAAACTAATTGGTATTTATATATTCAGGCCCCCTTTTCTTGAGCGCATGCTTTAGAGATCATTTCTCATTTTAACTACTGTAGAAGCAGCAAGAAATATTGATCGAATTTTTAAAAGTTCTTATCCCTGTGGGATATTTTAATTACAAATTTGCTGAATTTTTAACCTCCCAAGACTTGGTAATCGGTGAAGGACAAGATTCACAGCAGTTTCCACCTCATTAGCCACATTGTGGGGGCACAAAACCCAAACTTCGACGCCCTTCACCCCCTTCTCCCTTTACCCCCCCCCTTGACCTTTTCAGTCATGATGGAGATGGAGATAGGGGGGTGTTCGAGGCATAACGCTGGTGAAGTGGCCATCTTGGGTGTCATAGGTTCCCTACTAAGCCGTCTTTTTGCTCCCTACAGCTTGACAACAGCTCCAAATCCGATCAAATTAATTGAGAACAGTTTGATTGCGCATAGCCTAAAGCTGATCAAATAATTACTTACTAAAAGCGAAAAAATATCATCGAAACATTTTTACATTGCCTACATTTCCATAGTAAGTTAACTACATGTTAGAACAAGATCACAACAGTATTATAGTTTGAGGTTTATCTGATATGCACTCAGTGGTTAAAGTAATTAGAAATAAAACTTGAAAACTTACTTTTGCTTAAAATGTAAAATAGAAATGGTTAAATTTTTTATTTGTTCCTAATAATTCATACGTAAGCAGATTGCTTAATTAAAAATTGACTATTATTTAATATACTACTAATTCAATTTGGTCATTTCAAATTGTGTATTTAATTAACCGCTGAGCAAAGATAGTAGAAATAACATCCCTCAATCTTTCATTTACTTCGCCAGTAATTAATTAATTAACTTTCCAAATCTAACATCTGTGAATTATAGATGCGCGCGTTAGATCTCAATTGTAGAAACAAGGGGTGTCAGTAAAATGTCTGCAGCTGTCAATCTGAAATCAAGGAGGAATCAGAGTCGTTCCTTCCTCAGATAAAATCGGTATTTGAGCAGTCCTGATGATAAACTGCCCGACCTGAGAGAATTCTAATTCAAGCACACCTGGTTGAAGTCTTTCGCCCAGGCTAACAATTAGGTCAAAGGGAACACAAAGACTCAAAACAGCCTCAATCACACAAACATCACAGTTTAGAGAAGCGGTGGGGTTGATATCATGCAAGTTGTTTGTAATTGATTAAATAAAAAAGACAGTTAAAAGTAGAGTCAAATGGGAGAAATTAGAACACTCCGAAGCCTTTAAACCAAAAATGTTTGCTTGATTTAGGACGAAAGTATGATTTCTCACAGGTTCAATATTATATTTAAGGGATGTGGGATAGACTTACCTCCTCGTGGTGCACCCTGAGCAACGTCTAATCATACGGCAAAAAAGTCCATTAACCGGCAGTTGATTTCTCACTTCAAACTACCATCACCCCCACTATATGTCATATTCAACCCCTACCAGAGTACTCATCTTACCCTTTCTGAGCCTTTGTGTCTGTCTGTTTCTTCTAGAATCACTCTTCTATTCCCCCTCCTGAATTCTTCTCACTTCGATGCTCCTCCTTCCCTCTGAGAAGCCCAAAGTCAACTAAAGAGCTAATGATAACTATCAAAACGCCTGCCATTTGTTATAAATATTATATTTATAGAAGGGAGGGAGGTAGACTGGAGTTACGATTGGTTACCCTTCTGGATGTTTGTGACCATAATCCCGTTTCAAAGTCAAGTTTCATACCCATTGGGATAAAATTGTAATGATCAAATTGTCATCTTCATAAACGAAGATGTACGTTCACTTGTGTTTTTTACCGATTTCGCATTCTTAGTTATGCAGCGTTTCGTTGATATGGCTGTTGCTATCCACTTTCATTAATAATGAATTTAACTTAAATTCTATTTAAATAAGCAATATAACTTGGCTTATAGGTGGTCACTCCTAATCTAATTAAACGGAATTTGAGCACCGCCCATGGAAAGCCCGGGTTACACTACTTTCCATGTCATTTATTGTGCGCCAATGATCATTCATCTCATGGCCTCTACCTCAGTTGACACAGTTTAACATGATTTCAGACTTTGCAGAGAAGTAAGTTGATCACTGCGTCAACGAATAGGGAAGTGTTTATTGCCCATGATTTCGGGTCAGTTTGGGGGGTCATCGCTCATAAAATAGAGGCCTAGACAAAAGTACGGACAAAAAGGTACGCACCTGCTGTAGTTTAAACGCAATTTTATTTTAAAATGTAATTTACCAATTTTACATTTCAATGCTGGGGGGTGTACGATAGACTTACCTCCACGTGGTACACCCTGGGTAACGTATACTCATACGGCAAAAAGTCTATCAATGGGCAATTGACTTCTGACTTCAAACTGCCATGACCCCACTGTGCCATATTCGACTACTTCCACAGTACTCACCTCACCTTTTTTCTACCTTAGTCTTTGAAGCACTCTTCTGTTCCCCCCCTCCCTCTCGACTTTTTTTCCACATTGATGTTCCTTCCCCTCTGTGAATCCTGAAGTCAACTATCAGATAACTATCAGAACGCCTGCCATTTGACATAAATACATTCCAATGCTATCGATTTTCAAGTAGATCATGAGCATCTATGTGTTTATAACAAGAAAGTCACGAACAATATTACTTCACCATTACTAGGAAAGCTGTATATATCATGGTAATTCAATGCATCAAGCGAAGTATGATGATGTAATCCATCGCGCGTCAATTAAAAAATGACATTGGAATATTGTTTTCCATTGGCAAAATACTTAGAGCTTCTGTGAAGATTAATTCAGATGTTCTTTTGGGGTTCAGAGATTCAGCTTTTGAGAAATAAGGAAAATTCATACTCACTATCTGGCTAATAAAATGAATCTTGAAAATATATGAATGCTGAAATCACTTTAAGTAAAACAGCAAGCTTCTCGTCATGTTTGTACTCCTTAATAGTCTCAAACGTCTACTCATGATCCATGATTCGAAGAGACATGAGCAGGCATTCTATAATGTAAATTACGTGATGAGTTCTGAATATTCTGTACATAAATTCATCCAGAAACCGAAAAAACACTAAAATACGCTATGTGTAGGAGAGTAGCCAAGTATAAACGGAAAATTCTCAACATTCTGACTCAAAAAATCCTTTGTTCCAACTTTAGATGCCCTAATGCGATTATGTCCCCTATATGGGGTGTGTGATAGACTTATCTCCACGTGGTGCACCCTGGGCAACGTATACTCATACGGCGAAAAAGTCTATAAACCGGCAGTTGACTTCTGACTCCAAACCACCATCACCCCACTGTATGTCATATCCGACTACTTTCAAGGTACTCACCTCACTTTTTTTCTACCTTTGTGTCTGTCTCTCTTACATCTTTGAATCACTCTTCTGTCTCCCCTCCCCCAAGACTTTTTTCACTTTAATGTTCCTTGCCCTCTGTGAAGCCTGAAGTCAACTAAAGGGCTAATGATAACAATCAAAATGCCTGCATTGATATAAATAAATGTCCCCCATATAGGATAAAGTAAGCAATGAGCTCTTTGAATTAGAAATCGTTCAGTTGTGGTAAACATTTTCTATTCCATATATATATATATATATATATATATAGGTAAATACAGTTTTTTAAATGGGTTAGGTCATAAATACTCTAGAAAAATGAAATGATATGTACAAGACAAAGGAGCAAGGCCGTTCTCTAGTGAGTGCCTCCTTGTTTACCAGTAGATTTATCACGAACTAAATGAGATTTCAGCGGACCTTGGCCAAAAACGTTTCTTTTGACTTGAAAATTCCTGGGAGAATTCAACCGATTCTACAGTGAAGAGAAGGAGAGGAAAAACGATTAGTTGATATTTGACAAATCATGAGCTAACTGGAAGCGTGGATTTTTACCTTGGGAGTATGAAGACTAAGAGGAGACTCGAGGTTAGTTGTGTCAAGTAAAAGTGAAGGCGGTTGTAACTTTGGTTTGGGGGATTTTTGAACTTCCGAGGGCGAAGACCAATCGAAGAGTTTCCGCTTTGGTGACTTCAACGGCGACTTGCCTGAAGCACTATCTAGACTGCCCCTACTGTTATATCGGAAACTGCATTTCATTGCTGGACTTGTTTCAGTCTAGAAATAGGCAATAAAAATTAAGCTAGGCATGATTTTGAGCAAAATGATGGAATTTAAGTCCCAGTAGTTACCTGTAAACTGAAGAGGTTTTTCTGACAGTCAGCTAGGAATAGACTTGGTAGTCGGAAAGGTTCAATAATATTGGAACCACTCGGAGGCATATCTTTCTTTGAGATTTCAACCAGTAAACGCACTGGATAGAAATTTTTCGCGTCTTGCAAATCACTCAATGGAGCATTATCGCTAACCATGAACGCTGGACCAAAAAGCACCCCTGTATCTTCTGGTTTCACCTCACAAACCGGTTCCTCTGTAATGAGGGCTAACAAGTGTCCCAAAGGTCGATAAATGTACTCCAAGTGATTGCTCGGAGCTAGCTGCAAGAGGAGTCGCAAAGCCCGACACTGCACTGTTATCTCCCCCTCGTGTTCAGGAGTGAATTCCACTTTAGGATTGTAGAGTTGTTTTAGGAGATAGTGAAGCTTCTCCGGAAAGAGTGGTCCATTGGCTTTCAGAATACGTGTCAATACATTTGCCACTGCGCCTGCATCGTGTTGTGATAGGAGACTAACTATTTCACCACCTGTTTTCAGAACACATTCCTTAGATAACAAAGGCCTCTCTTCCCGTTTAATTCTGTGTAACATTTCCGTTTCCAGTAATTTCACGTGCCGAACAACCGCATTTCTTCGGAAGATTTGCTTGTAACGGTCTGTAATGAATTAGATGAAGATATTGGCACATAACCCACATTATTAATTATCTTTTTAAAACACTTTTAACTTACAGCGTTTTTCATTTATAAGGTAGTTAATCATGATGTAAATGATCCTATACCATTCATTAGAGTCTACAGGAGAGAAAGTAATAAACGGGTATTTGCATTGAATGAAACTATTTTAAAATGAGAAAATTTTAAGTTACATTGCTTTTTAGCATCATCAGCGGTGATAGATCTGCAGACCTTTAGTACTTTGGCAATTGGTGAAGGTGGACGGTTTGAGGTGCTGATTAGAGTTCGGCAACCCGCCTCATCTTTGTGGATATCCTTTACCAAGATATCCAGGTCTTTCAAGTGGATTTCAATATTCTTGAGATAGATTGAGACAAGGCTGACAAATTGTCGACCATAATGTGCACGAAGATCTTTTAATGACCTGTCGGGCTGGACTAAATCATCATCAAAAAAGTCCGATGAAGCAGGAACAGATGAGATAATTATTCTTGAAGAAGGCGAAAGCGAAGGAGATCCTGTTGTCTAAATGAGCAGAAATGTAAATTAAACTTCAGTAATAATTTACCTCAATGGACGCATCTTTCGTAGGAGTTTTGGATTCAGTCCAGTTATCTTCCATTGGAGTATAAAGGTCCTTGGATGTTGATTCTGCAGGCTTGATTTCAAAGGACTTTCTACGCATTAACCAATTCATGGGTGAAGCTCTTCTTTTCTTAGACTCCTGTGACACAGGCGACAATGATCTTCCCCTTTTACTTCCACTTAATAATCCTAGTCTCATGGAATACTTCTCAGGCTCTTGTTCGTCCGAATTCATGAGAGCAGATTTCATTAATGACTAAGAGGATTTCGCCATGTACTGATTGCTTGGCACAGGTCTACCAATCGACCAATAAGAAATAGGAATGAGTTGAAAGGAGTGATCGCCTTACTAACCAATCAGGATTGAGCGCGTGCGTTTACGAAACGTGTGGGTTTTGCGCACAGACGTTACATTGAACTTTGATTTCAATGTTAACACTTTGCCAATTATTGACAAGTTTTATATTTGTTCCTCCCCCCTTGTGAAATTCGAAGTCAAATAAGGGGCTAATGATAAATATCATAAAGCCTACCATTTAAAAAATAATAATATTGCTTAGGACGGTGAATCGCCAAATTCAGACTTTGTTTTACAAGAAAGTCTGGGTTCATTTAAATCTTGAAACATAAAATGAAACAGAAATATTTGACAAAAATGTGGAAGGCAAAGACGATGCTCAATACCGAATCATAAAAAGAGCAATTGTAATATTTCAATATTTTAATAATGGGGTGTGCGATAGACTTACCTCCACATGGTACACCCTGGGCAACGTATACTCATACGGCAAAAAAGTCTATCAATGGGCAATTGACTTCTGACTTCAAACTACCATGGTCCGACTGCTTGTCATATTCGACTACTTCCACAGTACTTACCTCACCTTTCATCCACCTTTGTGTCTGTCTCTTTAACATCTTTATAACACTCTTCTGTTCCCCCCCCCCCTCTTCTCGACTTTTTCCCTTTGATATTCCTTCCCCTCTGTGAAGCCTGAAGTCAACTAAAGGACTAATAATAACTATCATAAAGCCTGCCATTTGATATAAATAAATTGATATTTTAATAATTAATGCATTTTATTTCCCTGTTCACTTCGTTCGACTAATTTCAACAAATCGTAAGGAATAATGTAGTCTTTTAACATTTTTTTTAAATTTTAAGAGTTTTGCGTAAATGATAACAGATTAACAAAATCGGAAAAGAATTAGAATAAAAACTATTTTAGGTGAAATTCCGTAGAATTAATCAGGTAAGGAAAATGTTTTTCCTTTTCACTTCTCCGTCTTTCATTCTTCTGTGTACTCAACTTAATAATATTGTTTAATTTAATTAATTGAAAATTTTCGATTTTCACCAAACGGTCCGATGTTATGGTGAATAAAAATAGCAAGATAAGGACCTTATTTATTTAACTGGATATGTGAGTGGTCGTTTTCCCTATCTTCCCCAATATAACAACTGGAATCATGTGCGTTCGACTGTGACAAGCTCTCAGCGAGTTTCTGATAGTGTCCAAATATCAGGGAAGAGTAACTTCGAGGTCATTTATCTGCGGCCCTTCAAAGGAGCAGCTTTTATACTGCTCTCTAATTTTGGACATCAGCTTCGACTTGTCCTACAGGCTATGGTAGTTACAATAAAATTCTTCGGTACTTGCCAATCACAATGCCGAGGACTAAATGTGTTTTGGTATACTTCAGAAGGTAATATAAACCTGCGGTTTGAGGAGGTTGGACTGCATTCTCAGTGTGTTAAAGGTGAACAGCTGTGGGTCCTCGGCTTTGTGGACAAAGCATAGTGCGGTTATAGACTTATACATTTTAAAAGAATGACAATATTCTGTTTCCTGAAATTTGCCTGTGAAGGTGAATATTTCAGGCACATTTGAGAAGGGAAAAAATTGAAGACGAGGACGAGGTCGAGAAGGGGTTAGAAAGTGTTAAAGACAGATCTTGAACTGAACATTTTGAGTAAAACGACAGAAGATGGGCTAAAACAATACCCAATCATGGGGAAGTGAGTACAAATTGCAGTTAGACAATCAATAAATTCCCTAAAACCTTTCGAAAGAGTTAAAGCATAGTTTTATTGATTTCCTATGGAAAAATTGATTAAAAGTGGAAAGCACTTCTTCGAATGTTTTATTGAATGCCTAATGACTGTAAGAGGCTCTGAATGTCCTCTTCTTGACCACACCAAGAAACCCAATTATTGATCCATGTAACTAACCTTTTAAAGCACTCAATCAACATAATATGAGAGATCAGCTAGCTTATTGAAACAGGAAATTAAACAATGAGGAATGCTTTAATGTCCTGACCTCAATGTAAACTCATTCACATTCCTTTCCCACTCTTCCCTTCCTCTCTTACACCCCTTTTTTACTATTTCGTGTTTTTGTACTTCTCACTAAAATTATAATTGCTCAATATTTGTGGAAAAACAGCATTAATAATCAATACTTATCTCTGAAATCTTAATATTAAGTGTCATTGTCGTGTTACAGGTAAATTAATTTGCATGAGAAAGTAAGATTTTAGGAATACGAATCAAAAGAATAATTATATCTCATCGAATTTCGGTAATATACCAATCCCCCCTCATTATTTAGGAGACGTACAAGACAATTAAGAAAATCCAAGTTGGCTCCCGAAAACCAACATCCGGTGTATTTTTTATCCACTAATTTCGCCAAATAGAACCCCAAAGCGCCCTAAAAATTATAAAGAAAATACATTTTCAAAGAAAAATTAGTACTAAATAGTAAAATTCTCTTTAAAGATACTCCCAATTGAAATATATCCATATAATGTAGACATTTCATAAGTACAAATCTCTTTGCAGTTTTTTCTTAAATCCCCTCCAACTTTATTTTGATCGAATTCCACTTACTACCTACTTAACCGAACTCCTCGAAGTAGTCGAGATATCCGAGATCAGCAGAATTTGAACCATAAACCACTCAAGAAGAGTGCTGTATCCAAGGCAAGTTTAAGATTGTTTACTTTTTTCCGCCTCTCTCTCTCTTTACACCCATTCCTATAGATCTAAAAACGGGTTAAAACATGCACTCAAAAGTGTACAACTTAAGAATAATAGGATAAAGCAGTTGTTGACATCTATAAAAGAAATGAAGGGTAGAATACCCTAATTAGTAATCTCATTAACCATTAAAAGGAATTATTTGCAATCTGAGGAGGAATATGTGAATAATTTATTAAGCTCCGTTTATTATTTTGGCAAATATGATATATTTAGAACATTTTTTGCGGTAGATCTAATCAATGAATATGCAAAGCTTTATTTTCCAAAGAAGAATATTCTTTTCCTTGCGAAATTTTTACTTTATTCTTTCTTTGAATCTTTGAGGATTTCTTCATCTCATTAACGCTGGTTATTACTTGACTATTCGGCGTAAGGAACACCGACCCACATTCATACCCCTAAAATGACCTCAAATCAATTGGAAATGCGCACGTATGTAAAGTCCCCTCGTTTTATTGCTTTATAATTAATTCTAAAACAAGTATTATACTATGTTACTGGTGGCTGCTGTAACCTAAAATTTCATTGCATTTCATTTGCAACTACTTTACTTTATAAGTAGTTAAACATTGCTGTTCAATTTTTCAATTCTTGTGCATCAAAGTAATAGAGCAAGGAAATTAAAAGAAACACCAATTTCAAACTCACATGCATATAATTCTAAGCATTACAAAACCCATTTCCCCATGGTGTAAAAAGGAATTATATAATCTATTTGACCACCTTTGTGTCATATTTCTTGAGGTCTTCAGTCATTTGAAAATATTATCTAAATTTATTGAGTTTAAACGTCACGTTTGTCTAGATTTAGAGTGACTCTTCTTCTCAGTCACTTTGAGCAATATTTCATTTAATAGAATTTAATTGTAGAAATGCAAGTGCAAGTTAAATTGATCAAGACGGTTGAAATTCCTGGTACACATTTAAGCCACTCCTTTATTGTCTGCGCCAGAACTTTGATTCTGAAAAATTCGACAGGTTTTTTGTTTTTCCCCCATTTAGTTACATACAAAACAAAGAACAAACTACTAAACTGATAAAAGTAGACATTCTTAATCGCATTTTCGGGACTTAGACATCTAATGTACTAGAATTGAAATTACTGTTATGTTCACGAATTTATAAACCAAAACGGCCAGGAGCTATTATGTCTCCCCTTTTCCATTGTCACTTAACTGTAACCAGTTTATGCATCGACAGGAGATCAGTGATCCCAATGAGCATTGCTTTATCTGCCAGTTGGCAGTTTCACATTTATATTTTCTTTGAGATGGTAACGCGCTGTTATTTGCAGAAATTGATTTTGTTAGCTCTTGTAGCCGTAACAACCTGGCTAGCCCAAAATTCTTTTCTGTCTTCTTGACCATACAATTATGAACGCGTTTCTTTAAGGGCTATTTTGGCACCTAATGATTTGAAAGAAGTTTTATATCTAAGACAGCGAGAGAAAATCTCATAGCAGCTCAAAGCCAAAGTCGTCTTTGTTGAAGCTTAATTGCGGGATATCCCAAGGGAATCTGCTGATTCGGCTTATCATTTGTTATGACTCTCCGATAAACCAACTTGTCAATCGAAGTTCTCAGAATATTAAAGAGAGTCTTTTGTAATGAAGCCTTGATAAGCCTTGAGTTTACTTTACTTAATATCCTTAAAAATCTCGGTTTCTGAGATGTTGCAAGGCTTACAGATTCAGTGGCCACTCCATCTGCATGAATTTGTGGCCATTAACGTGTGAGAATTAATTGATTAAATATAGCCGTTTCAAATAGGGAGGTGTTTTAGTTAAGTATCTCCTTTAAAACAAATCCTCACTATTTTATTGATAGTCATAAAGCACTAGTTGAGTATGTGCGATAGACTTACCTCCACGTGGTGCACCCTGGGTAGCGTATACTCATACGACAAAAAGTCTATTAACCGGCAATTGACTTCTCGCTTCAAACTACCATCACCCCACTGTATGTCATATTCGACCTCTCAAACTACCATCACCTCACTCTATGCCATATTCGAATATAAAACTACCATCACCCCACTGTATGTCATATTCGACTATTTCCACAGTACTCGCCTTACCCTACTCTCGACCTTTGTGTCTGTCTCTTTTACATCTTTGAAACACCCTTCTGTTCCCCCTCCCCCTCTCGACTTTCTTTACTTTGATGTTCCTTCCCTTCTGTGAAGACTGAAGTCAACTAAAGGGCTAATGATAAGTGTCATAAAGCCCGCCATTTGAAATAAATAAATAATTTGTAATCTGAGAATTATTGCTCTCCCTCTCGAAAATGTCATACTGAAGTATGTGAATAGTATGTTTGTATAATGATATTGGCAAGCTGGCGTCAAGGTTAGTTCACAAAAAGAGAGAGATGCTGAATCCTAATAAAAATACTAGCAAAAATTGAATGATATGAGGTTTAAAAGGTCAATGGAGTAACAAAGAAAATCATTTCATAAGGGATTTTGGCACATAGATATCAAAAGACTTGAAAAATTATGACAGAAAAGTGTCATACAAGGAACCCAACAGCTTCAGAGTTCATTAAAAATGCTTTCCAAAAACCTAGCTAAGACTGAAATAAATATATTACCGATTAGGCAAAATTTGTGAGTGCTCTGGAAGAACTTGTTCACATAGTTTATTATTTATCAGTTATTTATTTATATCAAATGGCGGGCATTTGGGTAGTTATAAGTAGCCTTTTAGCTGACATCGGGCTTCATAGAGGGGAGGAACATCAAAGTGAGAAAATGTGAAGACGGGGAACAGAAGAATGATTCACGGATTTAAAAGAAACAGACAGACATACAGTTGGGTCATGGCAACATGAAGTCAGAAGTCAACTGTCGGTATATAGACTATTTTTGGCGTATGACTATACGTTGCTCAGGAAGCACCATGCGGAGGTAAGTCTATCGCACACATCTTACTATTTAGCATTGAAAAGGATGTTAGTAACAAGACAATCTCATGTTGTTAAGTAGTATTTAATTTATAGTATGTATTTCCAATTAATTTTTTGTTTCGTTTGATTTGTAATTGGATTAATTTCAACCAGATATTAAATAGCAAATGGACATCTAACGAAATAAGCTCATTGGCTTATACTCTTGGTTAAAATAAGAAGAGCTCAATTCGTGATGTCATACTGTCAAGTCCACATCTCCCAATGGTCATGATTGAGATCCTGTCTACTATATTCATTCGCTCAATTCGATTTGTCTACATCTTTCTAGAGCTAAGAGTGTATAGTTGACCTTTACAACCTTATACCCGATAGACAACATCTCCCACCAATTCACCCAAATTTCGGATCAATAATAGAGAAGGTTGATCAAAGGGCCAGGTAATCAGATATCCATTTACGAAATTCCGAGGCTACTTGAAAATTGTATTTTTTGAAATTCCTTAATTCGCAAAAGTCAATATTTCAGTATATCGCTGCCAGCTAGTTATCGCTGAGCGTTATAAATTTAATTTTTTCTTTTATGCTGTAAGCGATCTTGCCTGACCCTAAACCTTTCAAAAGCTTACAAATTAATTCTTTTTTTACGTTAAATTAAAAAAGATTGCCCCTCATTGTGGGTTTTCTTCTAAGCTATTTGCGACCTGAAACCATATATGAGAAGCATATCTTGCTCTAACGTGATTGGTCAATCATTCAACTGCACAAAACTTAACGTTAATATGCATCTTCAGTTTTAAATAAATTTCTAGCCTTCACGATGGAGGACGGTGTTAACACGAAGGGAAATGGCAAATGCAATGTGAAAGAAATGGATAGTATGCATTAAGCGCCAAGCACTCTTAAACATGCCATTCATTTTCCTTTTTAAAAGCAATTATTTGGCTTTACTTTAGATGTACTTACAAATCCAGCCGAATACTACGCGGAGATGCGATCAAGCTGCAAGGAAGCTGTTGAGATTGCTGTTGACTATCTGGAGAATGTGGAAAAGTACAGACCTTTCCCAAAGGTCACACCTGGGTTTCTTATTCCACAAATACCTTCTGATCCCCCTATTGAAGGCGTCACTATGCAAGACATCTTCAAGGATGTTGATCAACAACTAATGTCTGGTGTAAATTTACGTTTTCTTTTTTAAAATTTATTTACTTAAATGCACTTTACTTTGCATAACATTTATTTATATCAAATGGCAGGCGTTTCAATGGTTATCATTAGCCCTTTAGCTGATTTCAGGCTTCACAGAGGGAGGGGAGAACATCAAAGCGAAATAAAGTCGAGAGGGGGAACAGAAGAGTGATTCACAGATGTAAAAGAAACAGACAGACACAAAGGCAAAGAAAAAGTTAAGATGAATACTATGACAGTGGTCAAATATGACATACAGTTAAATCATGGTAGTGTAAAGTGCGATGTCAACTGTCGGTTTATGGACTATTTTTGGCGTATGAGTATACGTTGTTCAGGATGCACCAGGTGGAGGTAAGTCTATCCCACATCCCAATTTGCAAAACACAAGTATACAGATTTACCCTATTTAGATTTAGATTTTCAACTCCCCAAAAAACCAAAGTAGAGATTGACCAAATTATCGTGTCTAACGGCAATGGAAACTATAGAGCCAAATTAAAATGTCTAAATATCAAGATTAGTTCAGTGTAGAGGGATAGAGATATTGCCATCCTCTTGGTAATGTCATTTAGCTAAGTACCGATTGAGGCTACACTATTACTATAAAGACTGATGAAACAATCACCCTTATCGATTGTAGGATTTGAACCACAGTGGAATTGGTTACTTGAAGATCGCGGTTTCGGTTATATTTGAAAATCATCATGAATGACTTCCCTTAATTTGTCAAAGCTCAATAATCAATTTTCACTCAAGCTTATGAAGTGTTGGCAAATTAATTCATTGCATTATATTAAAGTGGGGATAAATTTTCGATGCGGAGAAAATGGTGGACTTATTTAATTAAAGAAATAATCACGACTTTTTTCAAGGTAACGCATTGGAACCACCCCCACTTCCACGCCTATTTCCCAATGGCTAACTCCTATCCTGCCGTCTGTGCTGAGATTATTGGAAGTGCTATTGGAGGGATCGGATTCACATGGGTAAGACATTCATAACCAAAATTGAACCGAACACCCACTTCGTTGAGAGGAAGTTTGAATGAGGTAAAAAGATCATGTCATCGAAGGCAGTAGAAATAAAACAAAACTAAATACCAAAAATCTTCATTTCATTTAACTTTGAGCCTTTAAATTGATTCTTTTGCTTGAAATATTAATTTATTTCAAATGGCAGGTGTTTTGATATTTATCATTAGCTCTTTAACTGACTTCGGACTTCACAGAGGGGAAGGGACATCAAAGTCACAAAAAGTGAGGAGGAAGAATAGAAGAGTAATTCACAGATGTAAAAGAGATAGACAGACACAAAGGCAAGGGAAATGTAAGATGAGTACTGTGGATGTGGTCGAATAAGACATACAGTCGGGTCGTTGTAGTTTAAAGTCAGAAGTCAACTGCCAGATAATAGGCTTTTTGTCGTATAAGTATACGTTGCCCAGGGTGCACCACGTGGAGGTAAGTCTATCGCATGCCTCTTGATTGAAATATTGTAGTTAATATGCTGAATTTAAAATTGCGGAGTCCGTACTCTGCTTAAAATTGTAGTATATAATTTGGCACCATGGACTGTGGTGTTTTGAATGGCCAATCAATTAAATGTATAGGCTGACCTGATCTATCTCAAGGTTCCCAACTCCCCGGATGATCCAAATGTTGTTGACTGATACCCGCAAATGTGCGACGGTGCAGTAAATTCATCAAATGCTCAATCATCGCTACGCAACTCAAATACGCAGAGTAGAAAGGAGTAATATGTTATTTTGGAATTATTTTATCAGTTAAATTGACATTTAGCAAATACTTTTCTACTTCAATAAAAGGGCAAGGTCATATTTGATAATTTTTATTTGGTTTTAACCGATCATATCGCTATGCCCAGTTGAGTTATCCCGAACTAGATCGACAATTCGACATTTTCAGTGCATTTGAGATTAGTGCTGGCGTTCAAAGCCGAGAATGCGTATACTTCCCCTATGGAAGCATGAGGAACAACAAACCTTGAGAATGAAATTATTCAAATATTGAAATTAACCTGCGATTCCGCTCTGCTCTTGCCGCCAATGGTAGAACGTTGAAATTCACATCAAATCAATATAAAAATAATCAATAATAATTCATGTCTACCAAGTTACGTAAGAAAGTGTGCGGAAAAAGTTAAAATTGGACCGAAATTAAAACCTTTTTAAATATTATTAAATAGAATAAATAAGGTAAATCGATAAATTAGCTATTCAATAATCCAAACATCACAATTTAATTTAAAATTTCCTTGATAAATTATTAATAAAAGTACTATAACAAGTGCATTTAGGAAAAAGAAGGGAGTTATGACCCATTTAAAGGTGCTATTTCAACAATTTCAGGCGTCTTCACCCATTAGTACGGAGTTGGAATACATCATAACAAATTGGTTGGTGAAGATGCTGGGTCTGCCTGATTTCTACCTCCATTCGCCGACAGGAGGCGGAGGCGTTATCGGTGTAGGTTTAAAGTCGATTGCATTTTTATGTTCATCCCTTTAGCCCACAACAGTGCTTGCTTAAAAAGATAATGAGAGAGCCCTCAACTTGACAAAGTGTTCTTATGCATTTGCAACCAGTTTTGCCCTTAAGTTTCAAATTTTATTTTAACTAACTCTATGCCTATTAGCTGATCGTTTGATCCTAATGACAAGCCTTCACACTTCAATAGCATCTTCCTCCAGAGTTGCAAAAACAGAAAAATCCATCATTAAATTATGCCTATTGAAATCGTTTTTACCTTACAGAGGACTGTCCATTTAGGATAGACGCTGTGAATAGACTTTTCAACTGAAAATTAAATCATAGGAAATAAAATTATTGTTTCAGATAAGTAATTGAGAAATTCATTGAAAGGGTTTATACAGTGTTTATGAACAGTTTAAACAAGCCAACTATTGATTTCATGAGCGTTAAAGTACTCTTCTCCGTAAAGGATACTTGAAAGCTTATATTCCAAAGTAATTTCCCTCAAATTAAATATCTTGATAAATTTTAGACAATTCGTCCACTTTGGTAAAAAAAATTCTCAGTTCTAAATTTTAGCGGATGTCTCTTAGCCCTACCTCAGGGACAAACTGACAGTTGCGTAAGCAGAAAATAGAGAAAGTTCAAGGTCAAAAACATGCTGTAACTTCATTGCGAAAGAACTTTTTAATTGTTAAAAAGGTGACAAACAGACTCACAGTAGTCAATACATGAACTCTGATCATGCTAATTAAAAGCTGTAATGATTGAACTGAGGCATTTCATTGAAGTTTTAGGAAGAAGTTACTATCTTTCCATTAAATTTACTAATTATTAAACGTTTTCCTTGATTTTGTGAAATTTTAGTGTTTCAGTTAAGCCTCGAATGTACTCCGACCGAAATGAGTAATACATTGCATTTGTCTCACATACTTTTCAAAACGTTTAATACTATTTCTGAAATCGACCTTCGGCAATTTTGTGGCTATTGCAGAGGATCAGTGTAGTTGACCAAATTATCATTAAAGTGAAGGCAGGACTTATTGAGATGGCTATTTTGAGGCTTTCCACAATGGCTCTAAGGATATCAGATTAACGTTCGGCTTCACTTCAAGGAGACTGGTCTAAGGTCTGTACTCTCACGGGTACATGTCTTGCAAATATTATTATTATTATTATTTCAAATGGCAGGCTTTGTAATATTTATCATTAGCCCCTAAACTTTGACTTCAGTTTCCCCCAAGGGTGGGGGGTACATTTAGAGCAGTTAATTAATAGCACTTCATTAGCCGTCTTCTTGCTTCACAGTATCTCTGGCTTTCCGTCCTTATCTTTAGGGCTGGACATCGAATCAGGTGGGTCTTCTCCATTTCCTCCTGTTGGTTACATAGGGGCATGTGGGTTGAGTGTATATTCCCAATCTGTGAAGATGTTTTGCCAAGCAATCGTGTCCGGTACGTAGTCTAAACTCAGCAACGGCTTCGATTCTTGGCCAGTCGGCTATATCGGAGAGTGCCACTGTCCACTGTTTCTCCTTTGTTCGAGCTTTAGTTCATTACACCTTGAGGTCTTGAATTCTCTTGTGATTAAGGCCTTCATT